AGTGAAACTTTTTTTTTCTATTCAATTTACTGAACACTTGTTCAAAATAATGAACACCGCCAGAGTTTGACTGAATTTTGGTAACATTAATGTCTGTCTGCTATATTAAGAAAACTTCATGTATATCGACTACGAAAATATTATTAAGGTTGGGGGAAATTATCCCCTGTACTTGGGTAATCAACATCAATGTTCAGTCAGTGATAAAAGACATTTGATATTTTATAATACTGGAAAGTGTACTTATTATTATACCGTAATACCACTTTTGTTCATATGACCCATTGTTCCGGCTTTTGATTTATTTTAGTAAATCCACATATCGTAAATCGGCCACACTTGTATTCATATGCAGAGTGCAATTTCTTCCGCTAAGTGTTATTCCTACAGGTAACTGAGGCATATTTTGTCAACTGGCATTGTCTTAGCCAGGTAACTGAGGCATATTTTGTAAACTGGCATTGTCTTAGCCAGGTAACTGAGGCATATTTTGTCAACTGGCATTGTCTTAGCCAGGTAACTGAGGCATATTTTGTAAACTGGCATTGTCTTAGCCAGGTAATTGAGGCATATTTTGTAAACTGGCATTGTCTTAGCCAGGTAACTAAGGCATATTTTGTAAACTGGCATTGTCTTAGCCAGGTAACTGAGGCATATTTTGTAAACTGGCATTGTCTTAGCAAGGTAACTAAGGCATATTTTGTAAACTGGCATTGTCTTAGCCAGGTAACTAAGGCATATTTTGTAAACTGGCATTGTCTTAGCCAGGTAACTAAGGCATATTTTGTAAACTGGCATTGTTTTAGCCAGGTAACTAAGGCATATTTTGTAAACTGGCATTGTCTTAGCCAGGTAACTAAGGCATATTTTGTAAACTGGCATTGTCTTAGCCAGGTAACTGAGGCATATTTTGTAAACTGGCATTGTCTTAGCCAGGTAACTAAGCCATATTTTGTAAACTGGCATTGTTTTAGCCAGGTAACTAAGGCATATTTTGTAAACTGGCATTGTCTTAGCCAGGTAACTAAGGCATATTTTGTAAACTGGCATTATCTTAGCCAGGTAACTAAGGCATATTTTGTAAACTGGCATTGTAAATCAGAAGTCATGCCTTCAGTCATGCGTTTGGTAAATGCTGAAAAAAACTATGGCGTTTACAGTTGTAACTATACTTAATTATTTGCTTGAAATATGAAATTGTTATTTTTCAATGCAGTAACAAATATATTTTGCTTATATTTAACCTTTTCACCACCGCTTCCATTTTTTCATCACAAATTCGCAAAATAGCCATGTTTATAGTCTGCATAGTCCTTCTGAAGATTGGGACAAAAATAGCCAAATTGTTTGAGGAGAAACTGAAAATTTACTCCAAAATTAGGATTCATTTCCAAAAATATTGAAGAATACAAAAAAAAAAGTGCAGAAAAATGTGGATGGGAAAGTCTGGTGGTGAAAATATGTTTGTAGCATATTAACACTATACGCTGGTATAGCTCAATATTTTTTGCCATGAATTTTGACATTGTTCACTCTGATTCTCATTTAAAAGTCAAAATAACTAGTCTGTTCAATGGTCCGTTTACAAGTGCTTTTACGTCATAAAGAAGGTCACAAATAAATTACTAAAATGGAGCTGTGTGGATCAGCTATTCACTAGAGAAATAGTTTGCATTAATCGTACCCATCAGAAAGAAATCAGCTTTTAGTGCATCTTTGTAATTGGGTATGCATCTGTTGAGGCTATTAAAGGAATCATTTTGAGGTCAAATTGTAGACTTTTCATAGTCTTAATATGCATTGAAGTTAGTAAATGGTTACATATCAATTAGTCTGACTGATTGCTGTCATTATTTTTCCATACATGTACCATTGGTCTGTGTACTGTGAATGAGTACTACATACAGTATGTCTAGGAAATTATTTCCATGGTAACACCACCTGTGTTAATAGCTTTTCTTAAATATTTTGAAATTAAAGGTCTTTACTTGTATTTATAAATATTACTTGTCAAGCGTTAAATCTTTTTTATAAATAGATGTTTGCAATTGGATTGTGTTCATAGGAGTTAGATTTCAAAGGTTGTCATTGCACCATGTATAAGTTTTGATATATATGTATATACCATGCATTGATTTTCTAACAATTCACTGCAGTCTATGTATGCACAATACAATATGGTGTCTGGTACACGTTTTAGTCTGGAGCGAAATGGACACAGTGCTCATGGCGGTTAGGGAACAGTATCATCTCTTTTCTTGTATACTCTGAATCAACATTGCAAGACTCAAGGTTGTTTCCGTGAGATGTGCAAGTACCCTGTACTTCATGGTGCTGAATATTAACAACAGTGTTGTTAGTATGAAGACTGGCACATGTGATGACCACTACTCTGTCACATTGAAAGTTGCAGTGACTACTCTGACTAAAAAAGACTTCATAGTTTGGTAGCATGAGGGCGCTATACAAGTATACTCTGTCTTATTTTCACTGATTCAACTAATCTAAAGACTGGTTATTCTGGTATCGCACAGTTCAGGATTCTACCCCATCTTAACCTAAATTTAACTACATGTATCAAGTAATGAAATTTAACTGATTTAGGTCAGACACACAAAAAGTCCAGGGGTGGCGAGCAAATTTTGGAAATTTTAAAAGTGGTGAAGAGGCTATTTTGATGATAAATTTGTATTCAACTAATCTGTTCTATCAAACAGTTTTGGGCCAAATATCGCACAATGTTTGATTTTCCTTTTTGGAACTCATAAATGAGTTTGATAAAGCCGACCTTTATAGTGACAAAATAATTAATTTTAACACAAATTACAGAAGTTTACCTCATACCGCCCTCCTACATTCAACTATTAAACTTAGTAAATCGTACTGCTTTCACCATTTTGCAGTTGATATGTAATGCACAAAAAAGACTCTTTACAGAACAAACTTTGCTTGAAACAAGAGATAGATGTAGCACTCTATAGAGCAATATAACCAGTTTGTTTTTATTTTGTCATGAACAATAAAAAGCAGGATTATTCCAGTCATGTGGGATTTATTCACAGATACAGAAGATTTACCAACAAATTCAGAATAAAATTTAGTTCACACAATACTGTTGTACAGTGTATACCATTCACATCGGCAATCATCTACATGTATGAAAGCTTTCAGCACGTGATGCAAATTTATAGTCAGAAATAAGAAAGTACCTGTCTATGAAATTTATCAAAATTAAAAATGACAGTTGCTAGTCTGTAGCCATAGACTTGGTCTATTTTGTCTTGATTATTTATAGTTATTTTGTAAATTACAGGTAATTTTCAATAAATATTAGACAGGTTTGTAAAGATTTTGCCTTTCAAAATGTACCTGTCTAAAATGACAGGTAGACAGATGGCTGGCTAAAAGCAGGTTACATGTATAAATCACTTTTCCATCTTCCACTATTTATATCAACCCAGGTATTTTTTGTTAGCACTATATGATTGTCATTCTGTTAAAATAGCAATACATGTAGATTTCCATGTCTATGAAAAGTGCATCTCTGAATGAATTGTTGCTTATACCTCAAATTATTTACATGGGATACAACTCAGTGATTCTCCTCAGTCCTTGCATCTCCAGATTTAACATCAAAATTAGGAAAAATTAAATAGCCATTGCACCATGTGCATCTTTAATGGAGAAAAAACGATGTGGCATTTCAGAATGTGAATACCAATTAGTATGCACTGTTAATATTAGGTGATCTCTCCTAATAACACCCAGTTGAACAAATTACATGTGCAGTTTAGTCTTAGAAATAACTATTTGGTAATTTAAAGTATATATAGAAATAATGTCATTTTATGAGTATTTCTGAACAATTGTGTACAGAGAAAATAACAATTGTTTACAGAAATATTAGAGAATTTAAGAGTGTGCCTGATTTGCTGAATGAACTTGACTGCTTTGCAACAACTTAAGAATATGTGTTTATGTGCATCAACCCGTGAAAATATAAGTGTCCCTGCTTGGTTACTTTTCTAACAAATTTGTGCTAAGTAACTCACAAAATTTACAGGAAATGATGTCACATAAAATATTGCTTCTATAAATAAAACACCCCAAAAAATTGATATTAATGGATTTAAATAATAATGTTTTTAAAATACATATATTTTAAATATGTTGTATTGGCAAACCTCTTGTATTGTTAGAAACCATTGACAGTGCCAACAATAAATTATACATGGGGTTATGAGTAGTCTTTACCAACAATACATTTGCATTATGGTTATGTGAGTGCAATAACAGAAAACTATTATACTGTTGGCAGGACTAATTTTTAACCAATCGATGTTCACCATAACATTGCAATTCAATGCACATGCCATATTTCATTTTGAATATGGAGCACAAAGATTTATGATTTAAATTTTGATAGAAAACAAATGTTAGTTTACGCATGAATAACACAGATAGTAGGAAGTATGACAGGCTTATCAAATTGTTGATTGAAACAGGAAGATGATATACATGTACAGTAATAAATAAATTTATTTTTTAAAGGTGCATGGGTTTAATTGCATGACATACATGTACCACTTACCAATAAACCAAAAATTACAGTTATTGTATGCTAGTTCATATTAATACATGTATGAAGTTATTACGTGGATACCTCAAAGTATGCACAAAGACAATACATTATCGACTGACGCGCATTGGAGGTCAATGTGACAGCGTACTGTCTGAGTGCATATTTTGAAGTATCCTCATAATAACCTTATTATTATACATCTTTTCTTTCCAATGATACATCATGGGAATGCCGAAATCCAAAAAGTTTAGAACAGAATCAATGAATCAGTCCAGACAAAGCCATATTTGTTCTTTTATATTAGAGGACGCTTATGCGCGTAATCATTCCATATTTGCAATTCACATTTCCTCATATGGTAGGATGAAATTGATGTGATTTACCTAATAGCATGCACTTATAGCAAATTAATACTTTCTTATGCAGTACACTTTCCAAGTTGTAATTTGAGCAAACCCTTACATTGCATATCCAGAAGTCGAACAAATTCCCCTGTGTAGTCATGGGTTTTACTTCGCTTGAGGGGGGAATTTTCAAAATACTCGCGTGGAATGACATTGTCTAAATTGTCTATATTATATGGCCAAAACCCATACAGATCAACTTGATCACACATTGAAAGCCCCATACTAATCAGAGTCATTTCTGTGCTGAACACTTTGCCTGTATTCTTCCAGTAGTCTTGAAATTTTCTTGAATACTCTGGGTTGGAAAGTAATACTTGTAGTGGTGTTTCCTTTTGTAGAAATTCTGTAACTGTGAAGGGCATTCTCTGTGGGTGTTCGTTGCTGGATTGGATCCATAGTATATAGCCTTGGTAGGATTTTGCGTTGCTTAAAAACTTTGGTTTGTCAAAAGTCCCTGATTTCTGAGCTGCTAAAGTCTTGCTTGTTGGACATAAACTTGTCAAGTTTGTTTTACGGCCAGCATCAACTGTAAACTCTGCAATTGGTGGTAAATTTGATCTGATAACAAAACTATGTCGGTCTATTTCGTTGCCACATTTACTTCCTTTTAGAATGCCGCCATTACCTATGATAGCACACGTCGAAAACCGCTGGTTTACCAGAGGTGAAGTCTCTGGAAGCAGTTGCCACATCCCTGCTTCAATGAATTTTTGTGGCTCATTCAAATTAGCTCTGACATGAGTATTTTTCTGTGTTAAAACACTTGGTGTCTGTTCCATAAATGTATTTAATTTTCTTTTTATCAACTCACGATCAGATTCAGTCACATGGCAGTGCTTCAACTTCTCCACTTGTGTTTTCAAGTTGTTTATTAACTGTCTTTCCCTTTTCGTTAACTTTCTGTTGTTCTTCTTTTCGGGTTTATTCAAGTTTTGGGTGTCTGGCTTATTGTCCTCAATGACAAACGTCTTGTTTGTTTTCATTACAACATGTACCAGTTTTTCAGTATCGTCCTTGAAGACAGGTATATTTGTATGGTTAGTATTTACTATCGGTGCATGTACATGAGTTTCCTCTACCTGGTTTTGCTGTCTTTGACATTCCGTCTCATCAATGTACTCAAGCTCTTCAACTGATATTGGAAATGCACTTAGATACATAGAGGTGTAAACCATCACAAGAAAAGCAAATATCATAAGCACACACGCCAACCGCAATAACAGCATCAGGCAGGATGAACGTCTGACGTAACGCAACATTTTGTAGAAAGAGTCTTCAGCTGATTTGACAAATATTCACCTCTCCATGTCACTAGTACTGGTATGAATCAATTGTTCAAGCATGTACTAGTAGTTACAATAAAAGCATTGCTGAGTGGTGACACAATAAGCAGTTTTTTTAACATAGTCGTTCACAGCTTCACATGTTCAAAGGCAGTCAACAGGTTGGATAAATCATTACAAATAGGAACCATGTGATCCTTGTTTGTAAAAGACGAGCAGCATTTGCAGAGATCCTACCAGGGTGTGGTCTTACGATTGCTGTGAAAGCCTGTTTAGCACAGGGTCAAAGGTTGAATTTGATTGTGTTTACTGTGAATGCATTTATTGTGTGGCTTCTTTCACTTTGGGCAGCTTTGACATGTAGTCAAGGAAAACTATAAATACACATGTCTGAACTTATTGTCATTGTAAGCTGCCTGCTTATTATTATTATTGATAAATTGACAATGCTGAAGTTGATAAACTGTTCATCGGTTAAAATACATTTTGTTTTAGTGGGAAGTGTTGAAATATATATATTTTTTCAATTGAGTTTGTGGAAATGTCAATTTTAAGGTGGACTATTGTTAATTTTATGTTAAGGTATTTTGATTAACAATATATATCCAGTCTGACTGCTCCTTTCATGGGTTTTGTTGCCCTGTCAACTTCATGTCTCAGTGTACCGATGCTTGACACCTTGTCACCTTTGTATCATGTATTCATGCTATTGTGCTGGTCATTAACACCATTTCACAAATGACTGTGCAGTTTGTGAAATCATTGATAATGGATTCCATTTCTAAAACAGCCTAAGATTGATCAAGGGCTTTCAATCTCATAAATAAGAGTGAACAAAAATGTTACATACATTATTTCATTAAAAAATTAGTATTTATCAGAAATTCCTAATAATTCATGACATCCATAATTATACTTATGATTTTGTTACCATGTATGTAAGTAAATCAATATTTTTATAAATAATTCACCTGTGAACAATAACAAAATAAAAACATTTAGAAAAATGCAAACAAATCTGTTCATTTTATTTAAAGTACACAAAGGTACATGTAGTTAGTTTGACATATAAAACAAGAATATCTTATGATCTTAGAACTGTAATATACTTTATTTTAGCTGGAATTAATTTTTGCTGAAAAAAAATTTGGCTATATTGTATGTGGTTTATTTTCACTGAATTTTTGATGAGTTAATGTAATATTTAAAAAAAAGGTATTTTTACTGTTTTTTATTGCAAATGATTCATCTCTTCAGCAAAAATCTATCGTAATTGAAAGCACCTGTTACAGGTATATGCATTCCACAGGCAGCACATACTGTTTTACTGGTAGTATAGTTAATAACACTATGCACTGTGTAGATTCTATTACATAGCTATAGTTTTACCTTGTGTAAACAACAGTAGAATTAACTATGACATAAGTACTGTTATGTAATCTGTTTCAAGTGTCCCGTTTAGAGTTTAAATATGAGTGAATTGACCAGGTAGCTACCTCCCTTAATTCCAAGAACAGGCGTGCATCAACAAACAGCCTATGGCAAATTATGATATTAATACAGGTTGTCATTTTCTTCCTTACCAGGTTGTCTGCATTAATGCTTTGAGCACCATGATTTTTCCACCACAATTTTGGTGCAACATTTTGCATATTTTTAAATATTTTTTTGATCATTTTGGACCAAATGCACTAAATTTTGTATTAATTACAGGTCTTGATCCAAATTCAGAAAAGAAATGAGTGAAAAAATGTCTCAAGATTTCAGTTTCTACCCTGACTAAAATTACAAGAAGTAATGTCTATCGTTGTTAGGGAAAAATCATCCTTGTGTACACACTTTCACTTTGTGTGTCGACATTGTATTACATTTGAAGTTTACATTGGCAAGCACTTGGGCTGAAAATGTATTACAATGAAAGCAGTGTTTGTTTGCATACTGCGCACATGCAGGTCAAGAGTGAAACATATTTTCTCAAATTCACGTATTTAGACGTGAAGTAATGTGACCTCAGTGAAATCCTCTTAATTCATTGCCTTCTGGAGCTTTTGTTATGCAATAGACATCCACAATCTGTCACTATCATGAAGATTTGCATTAGTTGATATGTTAACTAGAAACTTTCTGTTTAAATTAGTATGAATTCACATTCTCTGTAATTTGATACAAGTTTTACGCTTAACTTAACCATGCTAAACTAATAATAACTTTATTGCATCCTTAGAAGTACAAATATGGTTTACAGCAATAAATATTAGTTCATATTAGCGGTTATTTTATAAAAACATTAATTTATCTATGTATGTCAGAAAGTGAATAATTTTCTCTGACCTGATGGTGAAATAAAAGGATTTTGTGCCTGTATAAACTAATCTTTGAAAATATTTGCATTCATTTACCTTATAATATGTTCATACATGGCTAGGAAATGTATTATGCCAATAACACTTCAGTCTGTAAAAAGCACTAAAACATTGTGCATAAGTGTATTGAAAAAATTGATATAAACCATCGATAAACATACTCCCCAACCCCCCTTTTAATAAGACTTGATTGTTTGCTGGGTTTTAGTACTTTAGTATACTAATTTGCCAGGGTCTATAGCATTTTGTTGAAAAACAATTCATCAAAAGTCCATTTCTTGGAATGAGCATTTCATCAGAATTATCTTCATTTAAGTCTCTTGTGTAAAAAAATAAATTCTGGCTTCCATGTGCAAATTGTACAAACAGGAGGTCAATGTCGATGTGTGCATGACAAATTCTTTTTTCTTTGGATTGGGATGCAATTTGGTACTCATATACTAATATGTGCATATTAATTAGTTAGTTTGCATAATAATAAAGATGCATGTTTTGTTGATATCCTAACAACAGCTTGCTCATAGCTGAATGTTTAACACTACTTTGGAATTATAATTATATATTCAATTTGCATACTATGGTAATTAACTTTTATAAAAATAAAATTATGTTCATATTACATATGCATACTATCCTACTCTAACTGTGTACATGTAAATAGACTCTGCAAAAATACCCTAAATTTTTCAGTTGCATGCAGTTGTTTATCTAATACAATGAATACATGGCAAAATGTATTACTATCGATATTTGATGTTTCCGTTTAAAAATGCTAAAGCTTCAGTAACTTAATTTGAATGCTTAATTAAAGGGGGGTAGTCGTCACGCTGTGCATGTGCTACATTTGTGTTGATTAACATCAATTTTCCCATAATCCAATGTGTTTTTCTAATGGGATCACGAGTACAAGTTTTGATCTGGCCGCAACATGCATTAATTGCCGCCAGTGATACCTTCCAATCACCATGGAAATCACATAGTTAAACCTTAGTCTCAGTTTGTACTCGTTGATCTGCACAACAGTCAAAGACACCATCTTTGTTCATACAAGTCACATATCTTGCGCATGCATGCTGCTATGACCACCACCCTATAATTTATACTGATTTGGTGATTTTATGACATTTTTGAAGAAAAAATTTTGCATATTTGCTCACATTGCAATGAAATTTCAGAACGATTTTCACTGCTTCCCAAAAATTTGTCACATGTAAATTTTAAGTGGTTTATAGTATTTATTATAACCTCTATATCTGTTTTATTCACAAACACTTTTCAATATGAATTTTAAGAACACCAATGCAATGGAGTTTTTGCAAAAGATTGAACTCTGCTATCAAATTATTTTCTTTTTTAGACAATTTGTTATATGCTGCATAATCAGGTTGTAGTATATTGGCCTCAAGATCTATTAAATATGGCCAGATACCGTACAAGTGAATCTCCTCACACAATGATATGCTCATTCCAATTAAAGCCATGTCTGTTGAAAATGTCTGTCCTGTCTCTTGCAAAAAATATTGAAACTTTCTGAAGTACTCGTGGTTTGCCAACAGTAATTTGAGTGAATGGTGATTTTTCAAAGCATCTGTCACCTTGAAAACAGCACTGTTAAAAATATTCATACTATTGTGAATCCAGATTAGATGCCCAGTGTACTCCTTTGCCACCTTCAGAAATTTGGCTTTGTCAAACTCGCCTTTTGTGTTTTCTAAGTAAAGGGTTCTTGAAGTGGGACCTAAACTTGTCAGGTTGGTCCTGATTCCGCTGTCGACCGAAGATTTCCCAATTTCCGGCATATTGGATCTGATGATATATTCATAGTTGTCGATTTCATGACCACACTTACTGACTTTCAGAATGTGACTATTCCCGACAATAGCACATGTCTTGAATTGTGATACTTTTGAAAAAGGTTGTATTTTACTTAGACTGTCCCACATTTTCTGGTTTAGTCGTAATCCAGATTTACCGTATAGATTGGTATACATTGATCCGATCTTGGTATTCTTCTGCGTTAAGACAGATGATGTTTGGTTCATATATCTGTGCAGTTCTCTTTTAAAGTCTGTATGCGTTGTTGCATTGCGGTGACAACTTTTTAAATTGGCTGCCTTTTTCTTCATTATCTGCGACAATTGTCTTTCGTCAGTCTGTGTATTTTTGTTATCGTCTTTGAATATACATTCAGCAAGAGCATGCCGAGCAGCGTTATTAATATCCTCGGTGAAGTACGGTGTTTGACCCATTATTCTTCTAACTGCCCACTGACAGTTGTCAATCTCTTCCTCTGACTTTTCCTCACGGATTTCCGATTCATCCAGTATTTCTTCCAGTCTTTGCATCCCTTCCACATTCTTTTTGTCCTTGTCATTACAATCTACATAGTGTACATTGCTGCTTTGTATATAATGCGAAACTATATTCACATATACATAAGAATACAGAGCAGCTGATATGCAAAACAAAGTCAGTACAGAAAAAGATGTGTACATCAATGTTTCAATTGAAAATTTACCTCTTAGATATCTGGCCATGATCACAGTACTGGCGTATCAAAACATGTTGTAGTGTAATAAGGTTATTGGCATCTTTGTAAATTGAAGTTGTGAGATACTCCCACTCGCTCACATGTGTTTTGTATAGAAATCATCTTCTGTAAAAGGTGTGGCTCGTTGTACTATTTATTGTTAGATATTGAAGGTCAATAGTCTGCTGTACACTTGTCTTACACCACAAATCTTGAATCGATGCAAAGCTACTTAAAAGATTGTACCTGATTGGCTATCCAACCCTAAAATCAAATTCTGTCTTGTGTATGTGCTTTAACTCAACTGCAAATCCAATGTTGGGGTGTACTTTGACCATCCATGCATTTCATTGACTTGCCCAGTCATATTACCTTGGCACAATTAACATAAAGGTATCTTTCAAATTTTGACTTTTTTTGTGCTTTATTGCATATTCATTGTGCCTTATAAATCATTTTATTTTCACATATATTGTCATTCTGTTTTAGGTTCTGATTGAAAATATTGATCCTTGTCAGTAGGTATGACTGAATGGTGGCCATTTTTACCCATACATCTGGTGAATGTATAAATTATAGTTGTTGTGATACAGTCTAGTATGGCTGACTAGTGGCCGTTTTTACTGAGAAATCCTTTGAATGTATAACTTATAGTGCTTGTGATTGAGTCAAGTATGGCTGAATGGTGGCCATTTTATCCATACATCTGGTGAATGTATAACTTATAGTGCTTGTGATTCTTTCTATCTAGTATGGCTGACTGGTGGCCATTTTTACAGAAAATCCTGTGAATGTACAACTTATAGTTGTGATTTAATCTAGTACGGCTGACTGTTGGCCATTTTTACCCAGAAATTGTGTGAATGTATAACTTGTAGTTTTCGTGATTCAGTTTATTATGGCTGACTAGTGGCCATTTAGTCATGAAAAGTTCATCTTGGTGTTCAAGTATGCATTTGATCACAATAATTCCATTCAAAGTGGATGTTGTCATTGAATACATTTTTCAGGATTTCTTGTGAATTGTGTTGTTGCTTGATTTCTTGGTGACAGTGTAAATATGTATGCCAGCACTTTGTTATTTTAATAATTAATCACCTGGTAAAAATAACAAAATTAATTTGCCTCTATAATTGCATGTGTAAAGGTTGTACATCCTGAACCAAAATCTGATTCTGAATAACGATAACACTCAATATGTTCGTAGTGGATACAAAATTGCTGATTAACAGTTTAACTGAAATATGTCAGAGAAAAAAAAAACTATTACCCAACATGGTCTAAAAACTATTTGTTTAAAAAAAAATTGTTTTAACAACGAGTTGAGAATTTGTTTTCTCTCCAATTAATGCATAAACTTTTATATACTTCCCTATGTGAATTGCATTGGCCCATCAATGGATTTTCCAAAATTACCCTGGACGCTGTTTTTGCTACTATTTTGAGATGGTAACCTAGATGAATAGATTGAAAGTAAAAAAAAATGTCCTGTGTGTTTTCCTGTGTGATTACCTAACATGTTTTAGTCCATGCTGTGCAGAATACATACCTACTATACTGAAATGCTGCCATTGCAATATTACTAAAGAGTTTTAGTCTCTACAACTCATGCTGTTTTTATAATTTGGGCAGTTTCATATCTGCATATTTTAGCTATTATAATTGCAATCATCAACTCAGCCAGGTGCTGTGTTTGTAACTATCAAACTCCGAAGACAGATCAACAAAAGCAGACACAGTAACATACTAGTACTAAATAGAGCGCCCTCATGCATATCAAACATAAGTTGTTTACATGGGTATTTCTACTACAAATTACTTTATTTTCACTATTTTTGCTGAAGGAGAAGAATCAAACAGAGCTAATCTCTGATTGACCGCTGTCATTGTTCACGTCAACTATTTATTTTTCGACTTTTTCTTGATAGTTGGATTGCTTAGATGCTTGGTGTATATATACCTTGGATAGACTTCTCTTGGATTTGTTCATTTCACAATGATATCTTTAATTCTCCAATTAAAATGTGCATTGCTAACAGCAGAGTTATCTCAGCCGAGTGGTTGATCCAACATTTGACTCATCAAAAATCAGTAAAAATAAACTTCCTGCAAAGCAGTCAAAATGTCTTTTCAACAAAAGTTTATTCCAAGACAATTTTTTGTTAATTTCGTGGGGAAAATCATTAAAATATTACAGCAGTAAATATTTCACTATGGTATTTAAGAATGTGAGTCTCCAGTCTCCAGTCTTTCGTGAAATTTTGTCGTCGTTTAAACTCCCAAATTATAAATATCCCATCCCAAATTATAAAGATATTTTACAGTTTGCAGCCATTTGAAATCAATGCAATTTGCTGTTCTACATGGTTACTTTAGTGACACATCAAAACTTACATGTTACTGTAATTCACTTCAAGTACATTGGTTTAATTTTCATGAATTTTGCCAGTTTGGGGATATGATATTGTAACAGTCAATGCTTCACTGGGGTCTGACTTTTACAAATTTCTCTTTGACAGATTCGTGATTATTTTCTAGTGCTGTCAATTTAATGGTTTTCTCAGTTTTCCCAAACTGGGAAATTATCCCGAATTATGTGTGCATCAACAAACACAGCAGGCAATAACCTGCTATAATTTCTACCTTATCACGTTATTGGTGACCCTATGGTATAATTACCTGACCACATATTATCTTATGCTCTCCATGTATTCCCTATTGCATCCATCCAACTAAGTGAGTTTATTGCATTTATAATGTATCCAGATAGCTTTGCACCAAGGGTGTATAAACAAGGCCACACACATCTACTATCTGTATTTATGCATGACAACACTTTGAGTGGATAACTGGAGTTTAATTCAACCAATGTGTTATACTGCTTACAGTACAGTATGGATGTCATATTTTTATTATCCATGTTTTGTTGAATAATATTATTCCTTTAGACTCAATGAAGGGAGTTTAAATAATAATGTTTTTACTGCTAAAACTCATGTGAATTAAAATTAACATTCACAAATTTGTTGTAATTTCATGATTTTTAATCAACACATTCCCTTCTGAAAAACTCCATGGATAGTTAATATATTATAAAATGAAATCTGCATGCAATGTGTTTAGGCATACTTGGGCAAACGTTCGCTGCTTCAGATTTTCAACTTTTTATTTCTAACTCACCCAAATTAACTCAATCTTAAGTCAATATTATGTGCAATACAACCATATATGTGAGATTTCTCATGTGAAATATGCAGAAAATTGTGCTCACAGCTGAAACACACTTCAGTGTAAACCTTTTGTTCTGAGGTACAATAAAATAAATGTAGCCAGTGATATAGAACAACAAAATAAATGCAATCAAAGGCACTACATGTGTTGGAAACATGTACATTGGTTTATGGGTACATCTGTTTACTATGAAGAAAGTGCCGTCTTGAAAACTGTCTTCAAGTTTATGCATAAATTAGCACACAGGCAAGTTGTCTGTATGATTGTTGTAACACTGTTCAACCAAAAACAATGCCCCAATGGCGTTTTGAAGATAAACACATTGTCAATCATTTGTGAAAATTTCAAAACAAAAGGTCAAAGTGTCTAGGAGCTATTTTAAGTTCTGGGATGTGCACTAAAAAGAAGCTGAGATAATTGCTAATTTGCATAACAATTCACTCAGTGATAAGTTTGCTAATGCGCATAATTAAAATGGCTGTAACAGTTCCAAATTTAAATGTATTATCATTTTGTAAAAAGTTAAATATAGTGCATAATAAGGAGATCCCGTCATATCTTTTTTTACCATGTTTCTTTTTTATTATTTATGCACAGCCTTGCTAAATCTTGCTAAGCATTCAAAGGAGAGAATGTTTGCATCTGTTATCTATATTTTAAAATTGTCTTTTGAGCATGTTCCGCTATTCACAATTCTACAAAATTTTAACAGACTATAGCCAAGACTGTTTGGATTATAAAAAGCAAAAAAAAAAAATTCACTCTCAACCTTAATGCAACTCAAATGCAACATTGATCACTGTGAAAGTGTACATAAATTTGGACAACCATCAAATCCAAACATGAACCTGCATGGGTCAACGTTAATAATCTTGTTGAATGTAAATCAAAAATAAACTTGATGCTTAAGAAGGATGGTGGTTGTGATGGTGAGTTTTGGTGTTTGCTCACAAAAACAGTCGCATTCGCTGTGAACATGGAAACTATGGCTCGCAAACACAATCATAGATGTTCTATTGCCTAGCTTAATTCAGGAGTCTAACTCCCCAGCACATTTGCCTAAGTACCAAAATAACGCATTAAATTACCAGTAGATAGAACAATGGTTACACAGCTTTAACATATCATTCCAAATATGGCATATTGTTGGTTACACAGCTTTGTCATATCATTCCAAATATGGCATATTGTTGGTTACACAGCTTTGTCATATCATTCCAAACATGGCATATTGTTGGTTACACAGCTTTGTCATATCATTCCAAATATGGCTTATTGTTGGTTACACAGCTTTGTCATATCATTCCAAATATGGCATATTGTTGGTTACACAGCTTTGTCATATCATTCCAAATATGGCATATTGTTGGTTACACAGCTTTGTCATATCATTCCAAACATGGCATATTGTTGGTTACACAGCTTTGTCATATCATTCCAAATATGGCTTATTGTTGGTTACACAGCTTTGTCATATCATTCCAAATATGGCATATTGTTGGTTACACAGCTTTGTCATATCATTCCAAATATGGCATTATTGTTGGTTACACAGCTTTGTCATATCATTCCAAATATGGCATATTGTTGGTTACACAGCTTTGTCATATCATTCCAAATATGGCATATTGTTGGTTACACAGCTTTGTCATATCATTCCAAATATGGCATATTGTTCAGTGAAAAAATGGTACTACTATATATAACCACTTTTTAGCTCTGCTGTCGACTTTGTCGAGCGGAGCTTATCATATGAGTGATTGTCCGTCGTTGTCCGGTGTCGTCGTCCATGTCAATGTTTTACATTTTCGACTTCTTCTTGAAAACTACAAGTCTGAATGCTTTGATACTTGGTGTATATGTACCTTGGGTAGACCTCTCTCAGATTTGTTCATTTCATGATCATATCTTCAATTCTCTAATTTTGGTGAATATTTTTGTCATTTTTGGTAAAAAGTGATATTTTCAACTTCTTGTTAGAAACCGCAAGTCCAATTGCTTTGATATTACATATATAGGTACTACATGTGGACCACTCTCAAATTTGTTCATT